GGGCAGTATTGGACCAATACAAGGCTCCATTGACTGCCATTATAATTTATTAAACATTAATATTTCAAAAAAGGCATAGCCATCATTTGGCACAGGGGCTTTACAGATATAAATTACAATGGCAGCTCTAGGACAAAGTATGCAGGAGGAGAAGCATGGCAAAGTTGAGATGACTTGGATGGGAAACGAATCACAATAGTGTGCATTGCATTGGCAATGCACACTGATTATACGTGTGTAGGCTAACAAGACAGATCTAATTTGTATATTTAGTGGGTAATTGTTTCTGGATTAATTGTCTTTTTATCAAACTTTCAGCTTCTTTAAACTTGAAAAGTGTGTTAAATGACAAWATGCCAAGATATTTGTAGCAGTCACAGAGCTCATATAGATCTTTGCGTTAGCTCGCAATACTTCTTGCGTACCGTCGCAAAAGTTGTTTACCACTGTTGTGCCTGCCGGTTTATTAACAAATTCACATGCTCACCATTAACGAGTTGCCTACTACTTTAATTCAGCTTCAAAATGAATATATCACACAGCCACACATGGAAGTATGTAATACTGTGGATATTTTAACACAGTGCAGCCACGCAACATCAATGCCAATTTCACAAACTTGTGGTGACACATCCTGTTTTGGTAACCGGATATTTCAAAATAAAAGTATTTAATTCAGTTCATACAAAACACACTTTAATGTGGGAATGCAAAAGAATATTGCGAGGGAATGCAAACTTTTGTGAGGCAATGCAAAAGTATTTTGCAGGTAATGCATAGGGCTGGGTTTCTCAAAGTGATTCGATTCACAGGGGCCTGATTCGATTCAGGACGATTCACGATTCAGTCTGATTGATTTTTAAATTAGTTAAGTATATCATGCATGCAGTAACACATTTATTTTGATATAGAAGCTATTCTCAAAGGAACTAATTCTGCAAATAGTAAAAACTAATTCTAACTTGGTGCATTGGTAAAATTATAAACATAAAGGGCAAACTTGTAAATTGGAGTTTAATCTTGAAACAAAATTGTCTCAAGTTTCAAAGGGTTTAAACTAAAAAGGAATTGCAAGAGAAAGTGTTGTTGGAAACATTAGACTTTTAAGAAAATAAGAATAATTCTCTTGATCACCAAGAAGTGATGGGGATAAGGCTGCAGCAGAAGAGGGATAATAAAAGTGTACTTCTGCCCAGTATTTTGAGCCTATGAAAATTGTACATTTGTAATGTTTCTGTTGCCTTCTGTTCAATAAAACTTATCAACAAGAAAGAAAGAAAGAAAGAAAGAAAGTACTTCAGCTAAAACATTCCATCACTGTGAATTACATTAAGATGTTTCTTAAATTTTAAAATAATATTGTTAACAAAACTATACGATTTTGTTAGACTGTCATCTTTCACACAGTTACACATGCAGAGGAGAACAGTTTCAGTCAGACGTTTACATACTGTAGTTTTGGTTCGAGCTGCTTGGAGCTTCGTTTCCTGCTACCGCATCCGAGCGCAAATCTTTGCAAACAAAAGTTGTCATGGTCTCTGTTATCTTTAAGTTCTGCTCAGAAACAGCTGGTAATGTTCGTGATTCTTTTGTCTCTTTAGTTTTGATCCAGACAACTTGTCAGGAGCTAACATTAGCACTGACCGTCAACCGCATGCAACTCTATGGCAAGCCAGGAAAGACACACAACATGGAAACATGCAGTTTCATCGCACACAACACCCATGGGGAAAAATCGATCTCATGACTTATGAATTGATTTTCCCAAATTTGAACGAAAATCGATCCAGATTGATTGAATCGATTTTGTTAACCCAGCCCTAGTAACGCAATAGTATTGCGTAGGAATGCAAAATAAATAAATAAATAAATAAATAAATTTCCCCATGTCACCTCGCGGGCTCCGTAGATCTTCATGTACCTGACACTGAAGGGGATAAAAACCCGAAACTGTGTTTAGTCACTTTGAACTTGCCCAAAAGCTTGACCTTTAAAAATCTAAAACTCTTCACATTAAATCGGGATGAAGTTTAWTACATCTTGAGTATTGCATGCGCTCTCTGACGGAAGTGTAGAATTGGCGTTTGAATAATTTTACATATATTCAATAACAAGAAGCTGCAAAGAATAATTACATTCAAGAACATACATTGCTCATAGAGCTATGTTTTTCTATTTTGAACAAAGCCATATGAATTGTTTCACCTATAGAGTTATCACCAAGGCAACACTACCTCCTGCTTTCTGTGATATTTTCAGTTCATTTCCAAATGTTGGATGTGTAACTGAAGTAYAGTATGTATAGTATAAAGAGTGCAAAGCAGAACCCATAAATCAATAAAATAGCCATCCTATTTTTATATCTTTGTGCCATTTTGAATAAATTCGGTRGTAGGGAATTCAGTTAGTTCATCCAAAACCTGTTTTGTGTAGATTGGCTTTTAGAGGGACATAGTGCCTTGTCCCTTCCACTGCATCTGACCCTGAAAGAATGATTTAATGAAGAACCCCTCTGTGTATGTTTTGATGGATACCTTTCCTGAGGCTGTGTGTTTTGTACGAGGGTGTATGTGTTGGTGTGCCGTCGTCTTAATATGTTGTTCAACAGCCAACTCTGTGTAGTCAGCTGTCTAGTACAGTGTCGTTGTCATTAATCACAGACCCAACACAGCAGAGGAAGGGGGTTAGGAGGAAAGGAGAATGGGCCAGGCGAGAGCTGTAATCTATACAAACCACCTAGAGAAAGATGCGGAAGATGTGTGGTGGAGAGAAAACAAAGGCGCGGGGAAAAGATGAGAGAGGAGGACATTCAGGAGGAGAWGCGTTTATAAATGAGAAGCATAAAGGACTTTCTGTGCAGAAGAATGTGTCGTTTGTCGCTGGCATAAGCTTTGACTTGATTCTTTTATMCTGAAAACGTATTATCCTCTTGTTTTCAGAAGCTGACTCAATTTCCTGAGGCCCTAATAAAATGTCTGGGATGTTCTGTTCAAAGTATGACAGAAGTACATCACAAATGCCGGCTTTATCACCATAAATTGACACTATTTTTATTGYTGCTAGTTTGGGAAGGTAGAGACAGATTTTCAGCTTCACTCCACCTTTCTCTTTCTAAGAGCTTTGCGTCTTTTAAGCACGGATTAAGATGTTTTTCTTTTAACAAGTCATTTTGCATATAACTGTTTTCCTTAAGGGGTTGGATTAAAGAGATGCTGATCAGACAAGAATCAAGCGCACTTCCTTAGGGTAGTTAACTTCTTTAGGGTGGTTAATCTGTTTTCAGGCATGTGTTTGACTCTATCAAATGCAGAAAAAAAAAAATCATTTTTATGAAAACCAAATGTTTGATGCCCTCACTAACCCAACACAATAAATATCTGTTTTGTGCCTTATAACCATAATAAATAAAAAAATAAAAAAACGTTGCTTAGAGCAGGGTTGTCCAATGAGGCTCACTATCCTGCATTTTTAGAGGTTTTTCTGTCCCAACACACCTTGTTTGAATGAATGGGTAACATTCTTCTGCAGAACTTGAAAAGATAACCCAATCACTGAATCTGGTGTGTTGGAACAGGAAAACAAGTAAAACATCCAGGATAGCAGCCTTCAAGGCCCTTGGCTTAGAGCCTAAATGTGCTCAGATGTTAAAATAAAGCTTTTAGGTTTGCTAACAAGCTATTGATTTAAAGTTGTTGTGCATTGTGTTATAGGAAGGAGATTTTTTGGTTCGGACTCATCATGTGGAGTACTGTGATGGGGGCATTCTGGACCCTGATGATATCCTCAGTGATCTGGTTGACGACAAAGACAAGGTAAGAATGTCTGGAGCAAAATGTCTTTTCTCTTTTTTCTGCTTTTGGTCTGATACTTTATTTAAAGTGTTAGATGTTACCTTCTTTGATATGAAAAATAAAAAAATAAGTARGTCCTCTGGACGGGTTCTTTTTTATTGAAACGTTTCTTCTCTCCTCCAAGAGACTTTCCGTCTGAGGAGTTCCATGTGAACTCAGCCTTATAAGCTCTGCCTCCACATGGTGAACGAACAGGTTGGTCACATGCAAAAGAGGGCCATCAGCCAAACAATAGGTCATTAGTGCCTTGATTGGCCCTATTGTTCATAGAGGGTCATGTGCCCCATCACCTGACCATCGTTGGGGCCCTGATTCACACCTTTTGCTCACAGGGGGCTRAGTCATACTTACAATAACAGCATTGTAGGAGGGGGACAACTGGACAAAAATGGCTTCCTTTACTCCTCTCAAATCAACGTTCTTCTGTATCAAGGATGAGAAGATCTTCATCCTTGAAAGATTGACAGCTGGCCTATAGATGAGTGTAAACTGTAGAATCCTGTCCTGTGGATAAGTGTAAACTGCAGAGTCCTGGCCTGATGATGTAGTTCGTCTGTGTTGGCTCATTCTTTTGAACAGTGGCTGTTATGTTTCCCCGATGTATAACTTGTCACAGTCCTACTGACACTTTAAACAATATTACTCTGTTTGTGCCGGGGAACTGGATCTTTGGGGTGAACTAATCTTTGTTGTAATGTACTTTGGGGTTTGAAAGCCACTGGGATGTCATGTTTAGAGAATAAACGTCTCAGTTTCTTTGAAACTCCTGCCACATATGGAATGACCACTGGTTTGGGTCTGGGTTTGTGGTCTTCATTTCTACTGAGGTGCGTCAGGACGCTTCTTTGATATGATGAAAAAAGAGCCAAAGACTTAAACATTTATTCTCTTGAGTACTACTTTTAAAGTAAAACCAACATGTGAGGTTAGCATTTACTAACTCTTAACTAAAGGCTTTGTATACTAAACAACTGGGATTCAAGTAATAACAGGTAACCCTCATCATCTAACACATGCCAAGCAAGTGCCAATTTGGGTCCCATATAGTAATTATTGCGTTTGAGTCCTCTATAATTGTTTATATGGATTTAGTGTAGGCAAATAGCAAAGTACTGTTAAAGTCTACCTATTGAATAGTCACACTATGTTTACTTAATACTGTTCAGAAAAAAAAAATGCATCTAGTAGTGCTTTTTTATTTTTTTGTATTGAAGTGTAAATATATGCGCATTCCCACTCTAGCTTATTGAGCTGCATTGGCCTATAAGTCATTCTCTGGGATTGAATATTGCCTCTCTAGCAAAAATTTAAAGGTAAAGGTTTTAACTTGCCTTCAGCAATAGGCAGTGTTATTAACTATCATGGTAAACCCAATTCATAGATTCACAGGTTTTGTTTCTTCCCCCAAGGAATGTGGCACTGTTTAACGTACCTTTGCCCTTTATGAAAGCTTACTTTTTGAAAACTGTCAAATAATTTGACATTATTAAAATRTGATAAATAGTCTAGATTAGGACGTTTTGAACCATGGATTAGGACATTAAACGTAACTCTCCAGGTGGCTCTTCACATTAAAACAGTGTCAACATGTTTTAATGAGCCTATGTCCTGCGGTGAGCTGAATTTTTCATTTAGGTCACTTCTAAAATAAAAATGGCTGAAGAACATGGTGCCTCAGAAATGTTATGTGCAAAGTATCCTTCTGCCTTCAGCTGTGTAGCTTAAGGGATGTATAAATTCTACCCAAGTTCTGGGAAATTATAAGCACTAATTAATAACAAAGTTGCTGTATTCGTAATTTGTCTTGAGGCCTGAAGCTCCTTTAAAATGAAAGGCTTTCTTTTTTTTTCTTCCTAACCAGGATTTAAGGCTCTGTTCTCTAAATGTCACGCCCATTATTTGTCTTTTTTTTTTTTTTACAGCAAAACAATTCTTTATTGAAAGTTTAGCTACAGCTGGATAAAAAATGTTTAAAAATGCTCACCGCACTCATATTGAGGGCTTTCTTCTCAATATTAACACTGACCTTGCACAAAGCTGTGACTAATGAAAACTATCTCAGCTGTAAAGAAATATTATTCACACATGACCTTTTCAGAAAAATCTGATTATTCGTCAAAAGCGCCAGTGACATGAGCCAAAGCGTGGGGACCACATGAATTGGTAAGAAGAGCAATAAGAGCCTGGAGACCAACAGCTGACCTGAGAGATTATTATTAGGAAAGCCAGTTGCCATGGTTTTAAAGAGTTTCAGAAAGCGTTGTCACTTTGTGCCACTGTGGAATAATCTGCAGTTTTTTATGATGGAAACATAATCTATAATGTTGCTCCACCAGTGAACAGGGAAACCATGACATATGGACTACATTGGCTTTGTTGCTACAAAAAAAAAAAAAAAAAAAAAGAAAAGAGTGAGATGTGTTTGAACTCAATTGTTTTTTTTTTACCATTTTATTTGAGTATTTGAATATGTGTAATAAGCTATAACTTAGAAATAAAAAAAGAAAGTGCTACCCATGTTTTGATAATTTCTTTCTGTTAAAATTTAAATTAGTTTATTTAATGAACGTGAAGAGGCCTTACTCTCTGGGAGTCCATGCTTATAAAATACAGTCAATATTAAATATCTGGCATTTTATGACAAATTGCTTTACCACTGTTATGGTGCGTTCACACCGAACGCAATTTCAGCATCAGGAGCCTCAGGTTTACATGCAAAGTCTATGGTGGACGTGCTTCAAGCAACGTCGGGAAGTGCTGCGGCGCCTCAAGCGCGATTAGAGCAGTGCGATTTGAACRATTTGAACGATCTGAGCGTTCGACGTGCTGAGGCGCAAATCGCTGAAGTTAGAAAATCTGAACTTTTGCAGCTCGACGTGCCGCGTCAACCAATCAGAGAGACTCCACAGTGTGACGTAGAGACATATTTCCCGACGGGACAGTTTACTGAATGATGTCCACTAACCTGAAACAGATGGAGAGGAGCTCTTTAGCTGAAATTGAGTGCCTGCGGTCGGTGTCCTGACAGGAGATATTCGCACCAATGCGTGGCAGCGGCTCATCAGACTGGACTCGGGACAAAAATAGTCCTGAAAGCGAGCTGTGAGCCTCTCCCGCAGCTCCTGGGTGATGAAACTCAGAATGTCTCTGAATTATCTGGTGAATTAATTAATTATCTGATGAACGTGACATGCTCTTGCTCTCTGTAAATAAAGCAAAGCCACTTCCTCGTCCGACATCAAACAGAGCCCGACAGAGGAGGGAGGGGCGGGGAGGCTCTTGCCGTGCAGCGCTTCAAGAGCTGACCTGTGTCTGACCTCAAAGTGCACAAGCGACCAACTTCAGCGTTGGCTGCAATTTGAAGCTGAAATCGCGTTCGGTGTGAACGCAGCATTAACTGAATTGGTGATTCTGAGTGAGTTCATGAATGACTGTCTCTTTTGTCTATATGTGGCCTTGTGACAAACTTACTATGGATGCACGATATATTGGCGTTAACATTGGTATCGGCCGATATTGGTCATTTTTTAGAGTATAAACTGKACAGATATTAATGTCCGATATTGACTTCCCACTAGGGCTGCACGGTATATACGAGATGGTAGAAAGGATATGAATTTGTCCTACGATAGAAATTTACCCTCTACCATCCTGTCGTCAGTTACGTCATCTCACCTGTGTCAACAAGAGACAACTAAGCAGGAGGAGTTCGAAATATTCTGAAAATAAATGAAGAAATAAAGCGTTTTAAAACACGTATATAGAGAATAAATCCTTAAAATTTCCCCCTCCCGTTGTAGAAAAGTTACACCGTGTTGCTGTATCATATCCTCCCTACCGCTCACGTCGCACAGAACGAAGCTTTAACAACCGTAGTTTTTTCACACCCAAGTTGTCGGAGAAAAAACTTATGTATTGTTACCCACAGAGGTAATAAAAAAGACGTGGATGTTCGTTCAGTCATAAATCCATCTTGTTAATGTAACAGTCGGATCTGCTCTGAAAGCAGAGCAGCAGCAGAAGCTCATTGTATGGCAGGCAGATATAAATTTTTTTTGGCTTCACCCCACTTGCATTCCAGTTATCGGAAATTGTTTTATGACAGGASTATGTGCAGCTTAAGGCCATTAAGGTACTGTCACACTAACATTTTAGTGAACTTATGCCAACTTAGAATTTTTTTTTATTTCAAAATGACTAATTTTACTTGGAAGTTCTGGTTATAGCATCCACTTTATTTTGATTTTGTTGAAAATTTGAGAAATGTTTTTGTTTGTTGTTGAAACTGTTTTGCAATATATATAAAACATTCTTTTGTACTTCTGTTATGCTCATTTGTACTACAGCAAAAATGCTGGGTTTGATTATGATTACAGTATTCTGCAAAATAAATACTCTAAAAAATTACATTATCTTTGCTTTTTATGATAATTTTCTCTGCGATATATATCATTATTATCGTGAAGGGATTCAATTTACACCGTGATATGAATTTGAGGTCGTACCGCCCAGCCCTACTTCCCACTTTTATTTTTGTTTTTCTGTTTTGGAGGTGMAATGGTTGGTYGAGTGGTATCTGTTTGATCATGATAGTGATATTGATGCTGCGCAGCCAGGAATAACTGAAGTAGAGAGCCTTGTCAGAGGTCTGGTTGTTTATTTTCTGTGTATTTGTGCATATCTGTATATAAATAATTTGTGTGTTTATGTAATATTGGTAAATATTCGTTATTGGCCATAAACAATAATCATATCGGATATCAATATCAGCTGGAATTTTCAGATCCGATGCATCCGTGCCTCTTGCACAGTGACCTCTGGAGGTCAACACCAGCTCCCTCACAACCCAGCACAGAAAAGTGTGTAAAGAAACTGTATAGGTGGACATTAAGTGGTCAAGAGGAACATGTCATTTAAAGGGTTTCCATCTGTGAGGGTTTTTCTTTATCAGGTTGTCAATT